ATATGCATGTTGTCATGAAGGTGCAAGGAATTACTACATGCAGACCCGTGGAACAGTGCCTGGCACGTGGTAAATACTCAGTCTGTAACTATGTCAGAAGACATCATTCTCAGAGTTATTACTCTGACCCTGGGGGACATAGACCAAGGGGTACAGAACCAATACCTACAGATAAACAGCTGTTGGAACATCAACTGTGAAAGATCATTGATATACTGAAATCAGCCTCACGGCTGGGGACAAAATAAGAGTGATAGGGACTATGACAAACTGGAGAGCCAGTGCCCCTCTCCAGAAGGAACCGACTGCCCAAACAGTTGTTGTCTTGTGAAAATTTGGGTCATGTTGCCACATCTGTGGATTTTCCAAAGAAGGTGGAAATTTGGATTTTTATGTGAAATGTACTGATTTTTAAATGTGGGAATTAATTCCGTTTTTAAAAACCCCCAAAACTAAAAAACTGAGTAGGCCAAATTCAACTCTTCTGCGAGCCTCCAGGGTGCACCTTTCCTGCAGACTCACAGCCCCAGGGCAAGCGAAGGCCTTTGCAGCCCTTGGAGGGCAGGGGAGAGTGAGGGCTGAACCTGCCCCCAGGTCTCTGATCCCTAGTCAGCCTTCTCCTCACCTGTCTCACGGAGGGAGGGGTGGGAGAGTGGGGGTGTCTGTGAACCCACGGGATTGTGCAGCTGGAGCCCAGTGGGGGACACTGTACCCAATTTTGCCCCATCTATCCAGCCTGGGGACTGATCTGGAAACAGATGGAAGAGGCGGGAGATTGACTTCGTTCCACGCATTGAGCAAACTGAGCACTACTATATGCAAGTCATTGTTTTGGTTGCTGGGAGACAGCAGCAAGTATAGGAGACCAAGCCCCTTCCCTGGTGGAGTGGACGTTAATGCGACTGTGCACAAGGGGCAGCTAGAGACAGGTGGTAAACACGCAAATATTCAGTTAGTGGCGATATGTGCTGTGAGAAGCAGAGCAGGGTAAGGGGGACAGGAGGGGTGAGGGCTCTGAGGTGAGAGGGAGGTATCCAAGGTGACGGAAGCCAGGGATAAGATGGAGATGTGCCCAGCTGAGAATGTGGGTGAAGGAGACAGTGCTGAGAAGGGAGCAAAGGCAAGCCTAGCGAGGCCCTCTTCTCCTGGTGGCCACACTCTCCGAAGCCCAGATGGAGACGCAGAGGAGCTGCATCCTTTTTAGCAACTTCTGCCCTATGGTTAGTCCCGCCCCTAGCTCCCTCACATCTCTGGACAGATAGCCCTTTTCATATGCTCCTGTAATTCCTTTGTGTTTATAACACACACACAATCAAACTTCTTCAGGGTAGAAAGCTTGACTCTTGTTCAAGTCTGAGGTCTCCCCACCTCTATGTTCCCCACAGTGCCCACGAATAGTAGGCTTCAATATACAAATATGTTAAACTGAAATAATGACATGGCCTTACGCACCTTCCCTCACTTTTCACACCTTAGTTTCCTCTCCTGTAAAATGGGGGGAATACATGGTCCCACCTCAACAGATTGTTGTGAGGAGGAAATGAGATAAAAGCTATAAAAAGTGGGAGCCCAGATAACCTAGGCTTGGGGGTGTTCCCAGGTTTTTAAAAGTTTCTCCTGCTAGGAGCTGAGTGCCCCCTGAGCTACTACGAAAGGTTCTTGCCCTGCTTGGTCAAGGAACCCCCACTAACTTCCCTACTGCCATCATGGGGCCTTCTGTCCTCTCCTCTGAGGGGAGCTAATGGGGGAAGAGGGGCCAGCACAGCTTGCCAGTGAGGCTGGGGCCAGGAGCATAGGCTGCCACAAATCCCTCTGGCTGTGCTTGTCTCTTCAGTCCAAACTCTTCTTGCCCTGACTGATCATTTCACTTAAGCCAGTTTTAGTCTGTAGGATGTGCCCTCTCCTGGTCTGCCCTGCCAGCCCCTGCTCCCACCCCGCAAGCCAGGCATTCGAGCCCCTCCATGGGTCTGAGTCCCAACAAAGGCAGGCCCCAGGGGACCAACAGCCACCAAATCGGAGCTAGGGCTTTCCGGGAGCCGCTGACAGCTCCTGTGAGATGGAGTGAGGCCAGAAACCCAGAGACCCTCACTGGCATCTAGGCTCTCCCGAGAACCTACTCCCACTGGAGACAGAGAGAGGGATGTCGTCTCAGCCACCTCCCTGCTCCCCCGTCCTCTTTTTTCCCCAGGCTGCGGGAAGCAAAGGGTTAAATCCCATAGAGCTGATGCTCTGACTCCAGGCTAGAGGGGCCCGGGAAGCTGGGGTCACTTCCTGCTCCGTCCCAGTCACCCTGAACTGGTCCCTGGGTCCTCAGCCTGGGATCACCCCTTGAGAAGGACCCGGGAGTCCTCGGCATCTAGCCTGTCGCCCGAGGCAGGGCATTCAAGGGGTTAAGTCCCCTGGGGCTGGATTCTGCCTTCCGGCCTTTCCCAGACCCCAGAGCCGTGAGTTGGGGACGCCTGGGTTCCTGGGGGTGGCCCCGAGGGCCCGGGACGGCCACCGGGGAACAATGGGGCGCGGGAGGCGGGGCTGGGCCCGGGCCTGAGCCCCTTCCCCCGCCCCGGGGCCGCAGGGGTAGGGGGGGCGCCGGGCAGGGGCCGCCGAGGGCCGCGAGGATTCTGGGAAGAGCGCGAGGGTCTGGCTGTGGGGGAGGGGAGGGCGTGAGCATTCTGGGAAGAGGGAATTCGGCCGGGCGGGCCGGGGGCTGGGGCGCCGCGGGAGCCGGGAACCCTGGGGTCCTGCGGGCGCGGGAGGGCTTGGATGTCGGGCTCGGGATTGGGAACCCGAAAGAGGGTCGCGGGGACCAGCTGGAGCAGAAATCCAGGGTCTAAGCTAGTGCGGGCGTGGGGGGCTAGGGGCCAGGGTGGCTGCATTCCCGCTGCTGCCTCCATGTCAGGGTCACCCTGGGCCGCTCTCCACACCTCTCAGTGAGGCAGTCTCCTTCCCTCCCTCCCCCGCTCCCTCCGCAGTGGGGCTCGCCGAGGTCCGGGTGCTCTCAGGCCTGGGCCTGGGTTGGCTCCAAGCACTGCTCGTCTTCCTCGGTCTCCCCGCTTTCATCTCCATGTCCGCCTTGTCATTAACCCTTTTCCTTCTACCCTGGCCCACTGAGTTTTAATTTCTCGAGACAATCAAGGTACTAAGCTCTTACCTGTGCTCAGCAAACGCAGCAGGCCTCTTCAAAATAGCCAGGAAGCCCCCAGATTGGCAGAGGTCCCTGCTTCCACCTCCCCAAAGACTCTTAGAGATGGGGGAGGGGGAATTCTCATAGTCTAAGGAGTGCAGAGATGAAGAAATTAATTTGCTTCCTAAAATCTAACTCCTGTCTCTCTTATTGCTGTTTGGCAGGGTTCAGCCAGCTTCTGCTTCACTTTGCTTACTTCCCAGCTGCCTCCTCATGAGTCTTTGCCATGTCTCCTTGCACCACTGCCACCAGGCACACAATGCCCATCCCACACGGCCACCCAAAACCCAGGCCCTCCCCAGGGACTCTCTTAAGGGTCTAAACATTGTGGGAAGTTCTAGCACTTAGCTCCTGTGGCCCTGCTCCCTCATCCTGGGATCATATCACCCTTTTTGGAGTGACAGCTCTCTCTCTTTTAACAGGAGGCCACTCTGAACTCCTGTTCCTTTGCTCTGTCTCCTTGCAAACTAATTTTTAAAAGCATTCGACCAAACAGGTTTTCCAGGAGCAAGGGGCATCTCATTTATTCATCTTTCATTTGTTTAACAAAATTTATTGAGCACCTGTTATGTGTTAGGCATGGGATGTAGTAGTGACAGAAGAGAACAAAGGGAACAGAAAAAGGGGGACCAGGCTAGGAGTGATAATGGAAGGCTTAAGTGGGGAGTTTTGGGTTCATAGACGCAGATCATCAGGCCCAGTCGCTGGATCCAACCCATCCTTTTACACCCAGGGAAACCTCTTAATCCCAGGAGTTTCTCCATCCCATTCTCATGGCCAGCAGGCTCTGTCTGAGCTTTCCGCATCACCTGTCTCCTGCCTGCCGCCACGCTTGGGTTTCACATGACTCCCAAGGTCATCTCCCTCTCTCAGAGGCCGAGGGAAGCCAGACACAGAACCTTGCTCTTCTGGTCTTAGCTCTGCCACTTCCAGCCTGTGACCTTGGAGAAATCTCCCTGGGCGTTGATTTCCTAATCTGTAAAACGGACAGCCTGATTCCCAGGTCTCTTCACAAGATTGTGGGGAGGACTGGGTGAGCTAATGAGGACACCACAGCAGGCACTGTGTCAGCTGCTGGGTGGTCCCCACACACTTGTGGCTTCTCTCTTTTCCATTTCCCTCTCAAGGTAGTTCATGCAGAAGCCCCTGATGGCTTTAAACTGCCCCCTCCCCCTACCTCTGGCATGACCTTCTTCCGGTTGGATAACGGGGAAAGTGCCCCAGTCCTTTTGAAGGGCCCCTGCCCCCTCGGGGAAATTGGCGTGGTTTCTTTTTCTTTCTTTTCTTTTTCTTTTCTTTCTTTCTTTCTTTTTTTTTTTTTAACTCTTCAAGTGTTCCAGGTAGTCTCAGTTCTCTATGGGGCTCATAAGGAAAGTTTATTGGCCCCAATTAGCAGCCCCATTAAGGAGGAAAATTAGAGTCTTAATGAGCTTCCTCTGATTAGCAAAATAACAGGTTTCCCAGCCTCTGGGCATCCGAGGGTTGGGATGAGAGCCTCCTTCTCCTGTGGGTGTCAGATACCTCTCCAGCCCCCAATCTGGGTTCAAAGGGTTATGACTGATGAGCTTTTAATTACACTCTTAAATTCACCTACTTGCTTAGTTGTGATCTTAAGATCTGGAGCAGGAATCAGGCCTGCAGGGGGGTTGGGGGAGCAGGTGAGAACTGATGCCCAGAAAAATGGGGAGGTAGGAAACTGAAATTCACATAAGGAGGAATAAGGACTGTGGGATGGGCAGGTTGGGGAGTGGGGCTCGGAGAGTAAAGAAAAGGGAGAGATCAGCTCCCATTGTGTGCTCATTTCTCTCTTCTCCCCCAGGGTCCCCGGAATACTGGGCAGTCCTGAGCTCTGGGATGGAGCCTGAAGCAGCACTGTGGGGCCCAGATCTGCAGGGTCCTGAACAGAGCCCCAGCGATGCTCACAGAGGTGAGGGGCACAAGAAGGGACTGCAGTCCTGACAAGACAGTGGCCCCAGTTCAGGGAGGGACCCAGACTCTGGGGGAAACCCAGGGGAGGGAAGAGAGGCCTGACCCCGTGTTCTGAAAGGAGATGGGGGCTGGAGACTCCCTTTCTCTCTGTAGGTACCAAGAGTGGGAATGAAGAGGAGAGCCCCCACCAGGAAAGTTCTGGGGAAGAGATCATCTTGGGAGATCCAGCTCAGAGTCCAGAATTCAAGGACCCACCAGAGATGCCCCTGGAAAGACCCTCCCAGGATCCCTCTGTCCCCCAGAACCCCCAAACCCCACCGGGTCACCCCAACCCCTTGGACCACCAGACCCCTTTGGACTCCCCTGCCCCCGAGGTAGTCCCAACCCCATCTGACTGGACCAAGGCCTGTGAGGCCAGTTGGCAGTGGGGGACTCTGACCACATGGAACAGCCCGGCGGTGGTCCCAGCCAATGAGCCTAGCCTGCGGGAGCTGGTGCAAGGCCGCCCATCTGGGGCTGAGAAGCCCTACATCTGCAATGAGTGCGGCAAGAGCTTCAGCCAGTGGTCCAAGCTGCTGCGGCACCAGCGCATCCACACGGGCGAGCGGCCCAACACCTGCTCGGAGTGCGGCAAGAGCTTCACGCAGAGCTCGCACCTGGTGCAGCACCAGCGCACACACACCGGCGAGAAGCCCTACAAGTGCCCTGACTGTGGCAAGTGCTTCAGCTGGAGCTCCAACCTGGTGCAACACCAGCGCACGCACACGGGCGAGAAGCCCTACAAGTGCACCGAGTGCGAGAAGGCCTTCACCCAGAGCACCAACCTCATCAAGCACCAGCGCTCCCACACAGGCGAGAAGCCATACAAGTGCGGTGAGTGCCGGCGGGCTTTCTACCGCAGCTCGGACCTCATCCAACACCAGGCCACCCACACGGGTGAGAAGCCCTACAAGTGCCCCGAGTGCGGCAAGCGCTTCGGCCAGAACCACAACCTCCTAAAGCACCAGAAGATCCACGCTGGCGAGAAGCCCTACCGCTGCACCGAGTGCGGCAAGAGCTTCATCCAGAGCTCGGAGCTGACCCAGCACCAGCGCACGCACACCGGCGAGAAGCCCTACGAGTGCCTCGAGTGCGGCAAGAGCTTTGGCCACAGCTCCACCCTCATCAAGCACCAGCGGACTCACCTGCGCGAGGACCCCTTCAAGTGCCCGGTGTGCGGCAAGACCTTCACGCTGAGCGCCACACTGCTGCGGCACCAGCGCACGCACACGGGGGAGCGGCCCTACAAGTGTCCTGAGTGCGGCAAGAGCTTCAGCGTCAGCTCCAACCTCATCAACCACCAGCGCATCCACCGCGGCGAGCGGCCCTACATCTGTGCCGACTGCGGCAAGAGCTTCATCATGAGCTCCACCCTCATCCGCCACCAGCGCATCCACACGGGTGAGAAGCCCTACAAGTGCTCTGACTGTGGCAAGAGCTTCATCCGCAGCTCCCACCTCATCCAGCACCGACGCACCCACACGGGCGAGAAGCCCTACAAGTGCCCCGAATGTGGCAAGAGCTTCAGCCAGAGCTCGAACCTCATCACTCATGTGCGCACCCACATGGATGAGAACCTCTTCGTGTGCTCCGACTGCGGGAAGGCCTTCCTGGAGGCGCACGAGCTGGAGCAGCATCGGGTGATCCACGAAAGAGGGAAGACCCCAGCTCGAAGAGCTCAGGGTGACAGCCTTCTGGGGCTTGGGGACCCCGCCCTGCTGACCCCACCCCCCGGAGCCAAACCACACAAGTGTCTCGTCTGCGGAAAAGGATTCAATGATGAGGGCATTTTCATGCAGCATCAGAGGATCCATATTGGAGAAAACCCCTACAAAAATTCAGATGGCCTCATCGCACACCCAGCCCCCAAACCTCCTCAGTTCAGACCCCCCAGGCTCCCTTTTGGAGGGAATTCCTATCCAGGTGCTGCAGAGGGCAGAGCTGACCCCCCAGGCCAGCCCTTTAAAACGCCTGAGGGGCAGGAGAGCTTTGGCCAAAGGCTGGGGCTGCTCTCCTCCAAGTCCTACATTTGTTCCCACTGTGGGGAAAGCTTTCTGGATCGTGCTGTGCTCCTCCAACATCAGCTCACTCATGGCAGTGAAAAGCCCTTTCTCTTTCCTGATTACAGGATTGGCCTAGGGGAGGGGGCAGGGCCCAGTCCCTTCCTAAGTGGAAAGCCTTTTAAATGCCCTGAATGCAAAAAAAGCTTTGGCCTCAGCTCTGAGCTACTGCTGCACCAGAAAGTCCATGCAGGTGGGAAACCCCAGAAGAGTCCCGAGCTGGGGAAGAGCTCTTCTGTCCTCCTTGAGCATCTCAGGAGCCCCCTGGGGCCCAGACCCTACAGCTGTTCAGATTGTGGGGCCTCCTTCCTGGATCGCCTGGCCCTCATCCGGCACCAGGAGACTCACACCCAAGAAAAGTCCCCCAAACCCGAGGACCCCCTTCCAGAGCCAGCCACCTTGTCCACAAGCCAGGAAGGTGAGGGAGAAGCCCCCACTCCCACAGGGAGTAGCAGCCATGGGGATGGGGAAAACCCTAAAGCCCTCTTGGAGGAAAAGCCCTATTTATGTCCCGAGTGTGGAGACGGCTTCACGGAAGTTGCAGCCCTTCTCCTTCATAGGAGCTGCCACCCAGGGGTCTCCCTGTGAAATGGGTCTGGAGACCAGGGGCCTTTCTCTCCTGAGAGGAACACTGGATCTCCCCAAAAATTAGATGGGGAAAGGAGGAAAACCCTATCAGATTGTAGAGAAGTGGAGGATAAAGAACCCTGGGTAAAAATAATGCTTTTACATCAGTGATGAGAAACCCTATGAAATTCTTGGTGGGAACCACTTATAAGGCAGTAGAGAAAAACTGTTGGGTTAGAAACCCTATAAATATGTAGGAAAAAAAAAGCCCTTTAAGTCTGTAGCAGAAAACCCCTATAAACCCTAGTGGATAAAAGCCCTATTAATTGTAGGAAGAGGTCTCAATATGTCTCTAGACACCCCTATAAAACTGTATCAAAATCCTTATAAAACTCTAAGGTCAGGGAAGTGCAGGGAATACAACAATGGCATTGACTTGGGAGGTGTGACCCTCAGAAGGTACAGAAGAGCCTCCCATGAACTTGCTCCACAGTCTTCTCTCCCACTGGAGTATGGGAGGGAGCGTCTCTCCCGGAAGCCTTGGACAATTACACTGAGGAAAATGCTCAGCTGGGCAGTAGTGTGGGGTTTGGGTGGAACTGGGAAAGGAAAAGGACAAAGATAGGAGGAAAACAAATGATGAGGAGCCCACAGACCCACAGAGGAGAAACGACCCAGGAACTAGGGAGAGAGAGCTCCTTGCACTGGGGCTTCCTCGGGGTGTGGGCCCAATCGTAGATGGACTGCATGTGTTAGAGGAAGAGGCCCATGGAATTCCTTATCAAAAGAACCAACAAATGGGAAAGAAAAAAAATGATGTCAAGCCTTTTTAAAGGGCTGAAGTTTAGGGTGCATAAAAACTTTTAAGAATACTGGGAAACTACCACAAAAATTATGGGGAAGAGTGGGGGATTTCTGTTAGAGTGCTTTGAGGGAAGCAAATCAAGGTGGAGAAACTGTGTTCATACGGAACCTAGCGACTCCAGGCCGCCCAGGCCTCCCTGTTTGCGGGAGCTTGTTAAACTGCAAGTGCAAGCAGATCCCAGCTCAGGCCACAGGGTTCTCCCCAGCCCAGCCCAGCTGGGGACTTCTCTGCTGAGGGGCCTCCAGGGGTGGGGGGGGTCCCTCCTGCCACATTCTCAGGTCTCAATGTCAGGAGGTTTCTCCTGAACTCTAACTGCCACCAGTCTTGCTGCAGTGGCCGCCAATTTCCTCAAATTCTGTCCTTGGTTGGAGAAGGAGAAACACTGCTAGTCAACCTCCAAAGAATAAAGCCCTTCAGAGACTCAAGGGCTGTGTGTGGTTAAATCCTCCCTAGACTTCTCTTCTCCAAGTCAGCGAAAGCCGTGTGTGTGTGTGCCCTGTGGCATGAGTGCAGCAAGTCAACAGAATGGAGAGCTCTGATTAGCCAGCAACTTGCTTTTAAACCTCACTCTTTCATCTGAGTTGTTAGCAAGGCTGCTGGCAGGATGAGCCAGCCTGCACATAGTGGGGGTTGTCCAAACCCCCCAGACTGGATCATGGGTCCCTGAAGAGTCTACGGAGGCTTAACCACCTTCCCCACCCTGGTACCTGGAGCCCTCTGAGTTTGTGATGATCCAGCCCAATCATGGTCTTGGAAAGGGACAGATTCCACCCACTTGGCACCTCTCCTCCTTTGCCAGTAACCTTCAGAGGGAAACGAAAGGATGAGAAACACACTCCCCGGCTAGGCTCATATGTCCTCACACAACACACACAGTTACTTTCATTAACCCAGCAAAACCTGCTAACGTGACTGGGTGTGTGTGTGGCAGGGGAAAGAGACTGTTGCCCTCTAAAATGGTTGAAGAGAGGAAATGGAAACATCTGTAACAAGAATCCCACCCCCTAACCCGGGAGACTCTTAAAGAAGGAGAGAACTCCATGCAGTACTGGGTCCAAAGGAAGTACCCACTGACCCCACACTGGCACCAGTAATGCACTTGGTTCTGGAGGAAGAGAACTGAGATGCTAGATGAAGTGGACTCTCAGGAATCACATCCCTGGAGAGGGTGACTCGGATTCCTACCAAGCTGTGGAAGAGACCTCTAATTCCATTACCTAAAAGTTCAGAAGGTGAAAGTCCATCTACCCTGCCGCCAAAGGGATGACCCTCCAATTTAAAGGATCAAAAATCTATACTATTGTAGGAGGAAAAACCCAGGCCTGCTGGGGAGAAGGAAAATGCAGGCCTCATATGATTGTGGGAAGACATTTGTTATCATCTGCATAAAGCCCCACCCCACCCAAGTGCCAGGTTGGAAAGCACTACTGAGAGGGGAGAAGGAGCCTGCCTGCTGAATCTCTACTGACGGAAGTGTCAACAAAGGGGGTCTCCCTACGAGACTGAGGAAGAAGAGACAATCCTCTAAGACAAAGCAGATTTTTTTTCCCCTCTAAGATGGTAGCAGAAAGAAAGTTCAATTGTAGAGACAAACTGCTTGTAAAGTTAGAAGCAGATCCCCTCGGAAACAGGCCTGAGGAATCTGTCTCCAGAAAAGAATCCTAGGGAGCAGCCTCTGGAGCTCAGGGGCCATTCCGAGAGGAGGTGGTCAGTGTGGTCAAAGGCTGACTGTAGGCCTATTGAGGACTAGAGTGTAGCATACGTAGTAGGATGCTCGCATGTTGTAGGGATGGGTGAGGGCCAGGGGTCTCAGCTCCAGTACTGAATGGATGATGTGGACACGATCAGTCAGGGTCTGGGGTTTCATAGCAGGAAAGGAGCAGAGTCGGACACCTCTGGGGTGTGAACTGTTCTCTCTCGCCCACCTCTCCAAACTCCTTTAACCAGATGCTTCCCTCCCAGAGCAGGCTACTTCTGGCAAGAACTAAGCAGGGAGCTGGTTTGGGGGAGGTGGCAGTGTCGAGTCCCTCTGACCAGCTCAGGCAAAGGCCCAGGATTGTGGCACTTGCCCACCAAAACTGAGTCTAGAAGGCATAGTGTAGCCAAACCCTCTTGTCCAACTCCATGTAGGCCTGACTCTTCAGAAGTCCCCTGGTGGAGGAACCCAACAGACAGGGTCACAAAGCCATGATGAAAGCAGAGGAAAGAGCAGAAAGTCATCTGAGCTTAGGGTGAAACTTGAAACTGCTATGGATATGGAGGTCAGATGGGAACTCAAAAGAACTGGGCGTGAATCCTGAATGGTGGGGAAACTTGAAACCATCACAACCAAGAGGTGGGGTTCTATGACACTCGCCCCTGAGGTGAGCAGCTCTTAGACTCCTTTGCCCCCATTAGGGAAGTCCCACTCACCTGACTTGTCCCCCCTGGAGTGAGGAGAGGCCCCACTTTTGAGTGTTGTGTGTCAATAACAGTGTTGTGTCACCAGTGGTCATGTTGATTAGTTGAAGAGAATAAAGGGAATAAGATTTCCCAGGTGTTTTCTGTCTTCTCTTTCAAGCCTAGAGCCAGCTGAAAGCGCTTGTCCCTTCCTAGAGCCAGGGTCCACAAAAGCTCAGCCTAGCCTCAGGCTGCCCTGGCACCCTTTCCCCAGAGGCACTAAAATCTATCCAGTGCTTGCTAGTGGGAGCCTGAAGCTTTATAGAGTTTTACAATCCACACCCTGGCCGGGGGAGGGGGGGAATGTGCTAGCATGGTGGCAGAGCCAAGCAGCTTTTGTTGGTGCCTGACTTCAGCACCAGACTGCTGGGTGGCTGCCTGGTGACTCTGGCACTGGCTGGCTCAGGCCCAGCTGTGCAGCCCCAGGGAGGCCTCTCTGGCCACAACACCTGCACCCCCCCACACCCCCCCCCCCCCCCCCCCCGCCAGGCTGGCCACAGGCACAGCTCCTAAGATCTAGTTCCAGAAGCAGGCAGCCACTTCCCTTGGTTCACCTGGGTCCTGGGCATAGCCCACCCCTTCCTCTGTTCTGGAGCCTCCTAGACCCTTGAGGAGAGGTGGATGGAGACCTGGCTTGTCATCTCACTGTCAGGAGGTAGCCCATAAGCCCGCACTGTGTGGAGGGGGTGAGGCCTAGAGAAGGGCAGCCACTTGCCCAAGATCCACAGCAAGGCAGTGAGGGAAACCGGAATGGCCAGGAGCAGGCTCTGCAGCCAACCAAGACTCTCCTCCCCCATCGCTGGACCTGGGCCTAGCCAGGGTTCCACACTGTCCCGGCCAGGCAGGGCTACTCTGATGAATCCTCAGCCAGGCTTGCCTCAGTGCTATCTCCTGGGCCGAGGCCTGGCCATGGTCCCTGAGTGGCTGCCTGAGGTCAACATTTGCTCTAACCTGTCACCTGCCTCTGCCCCAGTCTGTTGGGGGCCTCCTGCCCGAGTTAGGAAGCTGTCTCCCCACCTACCCTGTGTCTCTCCTTCCTCTTCCCCATCTGGAAAGCAAGGGGTGGGGCAGGGGGGAGGGAGGAGGGACTTGCCTTTCACATAGAGGTGAGTAATGAAGGCTATTCTATATTCCTTGTGTTCCTAGCCCTGGGGATACTGAGGTACATCAGAACTGGTCCTAGCACAGGAGGGGTCCTCAGTAAAGTGAGGGGACCACAGGGAAAGCACAGACACTAGAGCACAGTGATTGGTTTAGAGACTTGGCAGAAGGGGCTGTAGACCCAGACATGGTGGCTGCCACAGCAGAGGATCAGAAAACTGGCTGGAGGAAGTGATGTGAGGGATGAGGGTTGCAGGAACAGGAAATAGTACGTGTAGGGGCCAGGTGGTGGGAGATAGAGGGTGCATAACAGTTAGGTGTGGGGTTAGACCATAGAGGGGTAGGGACTGAGGGAAGGTAGAGAGCAGAGACCAGAGTCTGGAGCTTCTTGTTTGAGGAACTTGGGGATAGGGCACCACTGGGGGATTTTTAAGGAGAGTGACATGACCTTACTTCCTCTCTCACAAATGGTGGTGACTTCCCAGGTCTGGAACTCAGGAAGGGAAACTGGGCTGGATAAGGAGTTGAGTCTTAGCAGCTTAGCTGTAGCCACAGCCATGGATAAACAACACTCAGGGAGAGTGGTAGGGTAGAAAGGAGAGGTGTGGAGGAAGACAGTGTGTATGAGGAAAACCTAGGAGAGTGTAGCACCACAGGGCCCAAGGGAAGTTTTAGAGAGTAATCAATGTCAAATGCTCCACTGGACCCTGTGGCCAATCACAGACAGTAGCCCTCGTTCTAACACAGGCAACTTCACCACTGAGGCCAACATCTCATCCCCAGGCGGCCAGCTGAGGTCAGGGTTGGTCCAGAAGTTTTGGTCTGCCTTTCCCAGAGGCCCAGGGTATCACAGTCACCGAGGCCACTGGGGCTAGTAAGGAGTCAAACATCCTGGGTGGAGGGGCCTGGCCAGCCCCTCAGGCAGATCCTCCCAGCACTGGACACGCTCATTGCAGACCAACGTTTATGGCGAGTTTACTGTTCTTCCTGCAGCATCAGTGCTTGCTCCTCCCACTGAAATTCTGTGATCCTTATCCCAGCCTCTTGGGCTTGAGCTTGAGAAAGTGGTTTGATGCCTAGTTTATTAGGTTCGAGGACACACAAGGTGTTTTTAGCCCCTCTGGATATGGAGAACGGCCTAGGGGAGATGATGTGTAGTTACTTGCATCTACTTAAGGAGCCTACGTGGAGGTGATTCCTGGGAAAGAGGATAGCATCACAGAAGATTGGCTGACCTCCACGCGCTCCCAGGCGGAGAGTTCCTCTCAGAGCCCGGCTGCGTCTCTATGATGCAATATGTTGCGTTTTCCCCACCCTGGTCTCCGCTGCCCGCACACCGCGCACATTTCCTCGGCGGCCCTATGCCATCCCCCGCCGCGCCCCGTGCCTCGGCGAGCGTCCCCATGGCCACGAGCCCTGCGCCGGAAATCACTGTTGCCCGCGTCGCGGTCTCCGGTCCGACCTGGTCCAGCCGCTGCGGCCCCGCCGAAACCCTGGGGGCCAACTGGGGCCCGAGGGCAGACAAGGCTGCGAGCCCCCGCGAAGGCGTGACCGCTGACAAGCCCGCTGCTGCTACCGTGGCCATGGCGCCAACTCTAGCTCCGGCACCAACCCCAGTCAGCACCGGCCCTAGCGCGAGTTCCAGTACAGCCTCGAAGAAGGCTCCGTCGGAGGACCAGACGGCGCGCTGAACCAGCAAGCGCCACTTGACTCGGCGCAAAGTTCCCGAAGACACGGCCCTAGGCGCAAGTTGCAATGAAGGAAGTCACCGGCTCAAGTGTCCCAATCTATCCGCCTGAGGGGAAGGGGCGGGTAAAGCCGTCGGGGAGGGATGGCCCTCAGATTGGCCCAGGCCCGCCTATGGCCAGCACAACCGGGGACCGGCTCCCTCCTCGGAGGACCTTGTCGCCGGGTGCCAATAAGGGACTACATTTTCCCAAAATCCTCCCAGGATCCCATTGGCCAACGACTGCGGTGGGCGTGGCGAACGCGCGAGGGAGGGGCCGGCCGGGCTGCGGTTCTGGTGAACTTCAGCCCTTCCCCGTGGGAGCAAGAAGGCTGGGCTGGCGGCAGAAGACTGACCACGGACCTTTCTCCCTGCAGACACGCTCCTCCTGGGAGCTCAGTCCAGGATCCCAGACGGCAGCTGGGTCTAAGTGTAACTCGGGGTTGGGGGTAGGCAGGAGCGGGGTCTCATCTGTGCAGGCCAGCCAGGGCAGCGGCCAGAACAGGTGTAGCAGCTAAAATCCGGCAGCATGTTTAGGGCAGGAAGCCCGGCTACTCAGACCATAAGCTGAGAGTTGGACGTTTATTCCTTTATTCGTAACAACAGCCTATACAAGTAATTTCTAGAGCAGGGGCTGTGGGTCAGAATGGACCCTTGGACCTGTCAGCAGCTCCACCTTCCAGGCCCCTGCGTGCTGTCCTCACAGCCCACGGAGTTTGTTTGGGCAGGCAACAAAGGAAGCATGTGGGTACAGGCTCAGTCACAGGATATTAAATGACGCTCTACCTGGAATGATCGGAAGTTGGCCCAGCGGCTAGTCTGTCCCTTCCCCTCCTGGGAAGTTCCACCTCCACTGCAGTTAAGGCCACTAGGATGAAAGCAGGGTCAGGGCTGGGGACCCAGTGGAGCCTTGGGAAGCATGAGGTGAGGGTAAGTGGGCTTGGGAGATTGGGAGGGGCCTGATTAGAACAGAAACTGGCGATGTTGGTTCAGCACTCCCAAGATGAGGGCAAGGTGACTGCAGCAACCACAGAGCTTCCCAAAGGAAGAGGAGAGTGCCCCCCTCCCATACCTCCTTCAGCCGTGAGCACAAGAGGCAGACAAAAGAGCCCAGGGAACTGCACAGGAGGGAAGCCTTGCCCAGGCCTGGGGGACAACGGGGTAAAGAAAGTCTCCCTGGGCCCCAGGGGCCAGTCTCAGAGCAAGGGGCTGGAGACTTGGCCCACCCCTGGTCCTCACTTGAGAGTGTCTAAGCAGGTAGTGAGCCTCCTCTTGCATGGAAGGTCACAGCTGGGGAATCTCCCCCTTAGGGCTGGGATAAGCCCACAGAGACAGTTGGAGAAGGGTTAGGGCCAGCTTTCAAGAAGCTCAATTGAGTGCTCTGGGTCCCTCAGGCCTCTCACAGCAGACTTTTCCCGCAGGGTGGGTGCCCCCTAGGCTACAGCTCTGACCTTGGGGAAAAGGTGGAACTGAGTTTAGCTGATCCCAAACCCACTAGCATGCTCTGGGGCCCCCAAACCAACCAGGTGGGGAGGGGCTGGGCCCACAGGGACTGGAATGGAGGGTGGGGGCCACTCGATGCGGGGGGTGGGGGGTGGAGGCTGGGGGCACAGCCCCCAGGGTCCATGGTGTTCCAAAGTCCTGAGCTACAGGTTCAGCTGATGTAGACACGGTGGAAGTCGTGGGCACCAAAGGCCGCGTTGCACTTGGGGCACTTCCTCTGGCGGGCCTCATAGCGGCCCCGCACGCACTCGAAGCAGAAAACGTGGAAGCACTTGGTAAGGACTGCATCCTTCTTGCGGGTGTTACAGCAGGGGCAGGTCAACCGCGCCTGGGCCAGGTAAAGGCATCAGCTTGGGAACAGTTGTGATGGTGCCCACACCCCAGGCTGACAGCAGGAGGTGGTCCAGGCTAAGTCTACCACACAGCAAACTGCAACTAACTCTCATCATAACCCTGGGAGGCGGGGATGAACACTCTCCAAAGGAAAAAACTGACGCTCAGAGGCCGAGGTCTCCAAACTAGAAAGTAGCAGTCTGGACTCTTTAACCTGGGCAGTGATGGCCAGTGGTCACGTGTCCCCTTTCAAGGCCAATGACCTACAGGCTCAGCCTGGGCTCCTCTGCCCTGGGGCTTCATCTCCAGCCTCTTCGGCCAAATCCTAATCCTGGTTTAGGCCAACTGTCTACCTTCTCAGTGCAACTGGAAATCTGCTGTCTCTACCCTCAACTGGGCTAAACCCTTGTGCTGCCCAAAGATCCTGCCAT